GATGGAAAACTCGACCCTCACCGCAGACGCGGATAATATCGTTGAAGTGTTCCTGTCGATGATTGGCACTAAATTCTGTCCAAGGGCGAAGCCACTTGGGATAGTACTTGCCGTCGACCGAGGTTGCGAGGCCAGTAGAGCTCTCCGAAGCGCCAGCGAGCCTGAGTTTTTGGTAAATGTCGAAGTGACAGTTATGCAAGTACTCTGCCAAAGTCGTCTTTTGGTTTTTGAGTTTCTCTTTCTCCTTTTCGCGTCGTTCGTTCTCCTCCCGTGCCCTCGCTTCCTCCTCCCGTGCCCTCGCTTCCTCCTCCCGTGCCCTCGCTTCCTCCTCCCGTGCCCTTGCTTCCTCCTCCCGTGCCTTTGCTTGCTGCAGCTGCCTTTCGAGCTCCCGAATTTTTTCAGACATCTGAAGCGATCGATGGGCGATGTTGATCAGGCAAGGTAGCGGGCTAATCGTAGGAGCGATTTGGAGTTCCCCACTACAACGGTAGGTAGTTGCCCAAGGCGTGTCCACTGCTGTAGCCTGAGGCTAACTCGCCCTCCTAGTGTAACAGCATGTCGTTACTGCAGAACTAGAGCCTAGCTAGCAAGGGCAGTGACATCCATTTCCCCTTTTGAAAAGCCGAGGCCAAGTACAGCCCCTACATTCGCGCCCGACTGACTAACTTTTCCACCCCCCCTTCAACATAACCATTTAACTAGCCACTTCAAGGCATTCGCCATGTCCCAAGCAGTATTCCCAGATGATGTGCTCCCGTCAGAGGGCATATACAATTCACGTGAATCCCTCCTTGGCGCCATTAATTCATGGGCAAAACCTAGAGGCTATGCATTTACCACAGGAAAGTCCACCAAGATACCAAATGGCCGGGTCAAAGTTGTGTTTGCTTGCGATCGTAATGGGCAACCGCCAAATGCCGCCATAGAGCGAAAACAGCGTACTTGCAGCCGAGCAACGGGGTGCAAGTACTCTGTGCTTGCCAAACAGTCTTTGGAGCCTCATGGGTTCTCAGTCATCGACCCGGACTGGATTTCTCTCCACAACCACCCGCCAAGTGAAGACCCATCTGCTCACCTAACACATCGCCACCTTGCCGGAGGTGATGCTAGGGTTATTTCTAGCCTTGCGGCTGCTGGAGCTGCTCCCTGTGAAACTAGGACATACCTCTGTAATAAATTCACGACACTTGGAACTTAGAAGGTATCTCCAATTAAATTGGCGTAGCAAGGAGAGACCTACGCGAGGGCCAAAGTAGCATATAGGCAATGGTCAACCACTTGCATGAGGAAGGTTTCCACTACAAGGTTCGGCTGGATTCCGATAATCGGCTTATAGCAATTTCTGCCCATCCGGACTCATTCGTAGTTCTCCAATGCAACCCCGATGTGCTGCTCCTTGACTGCACCTACAAGACAAACAAGCACAGTATGCCAATTCTCGATATGGTTGGCGTTGATGCTTGCGAACGCCCCTTCCGTATTGCTTTTGCGTTACTCTCCGGTGAGACCGAAGAGGACTACTCCTGGGCTTTGCAGCATTTTCGGTCGCTCTATCTGCGTGACCTTCCTTCAATTGTCTTGACAGACCCAGTGTGGCTAACAATCAGGTTCAAACTTGACAAGTCTCAATCAAGCTTGGCTGCATGTCAAGTCAAGTTCTCAAGTCAAGTTTGATGCCGCCATTCAATCAGTCAAGTTCAACGAGTGTCAAGCTGTCAAGTACTTGACGCTCGTCGGATTTTTTACAAAACTGTGCAAACTCTAGGTTAAGTC